AACAAAAATAGAAAGTAAAAGTTGTCTTAGATGTGCCTTCTTCATTTTAAAAAATCAATCTCGCAATCGAAATAGTTATTAATTGATTCAAAAGTTAGTCATACTATTAAAGTTCCAACATTTGTTTGTTTTTTTTGTACTCAACATTGGTTGTTATCATTGACGAGCGCTCTGTTTTAGCTTTACACATAAATATTATGAACTTAATGTTCGACAGAATGCCAAGGACTACCAGTGTCGATTTCGGAGGTCGATAAGTGTACACTTTGACATGGTGTAGTAAGGTCATTAATAGCGCGTTTACCTTCTTTTGAATAGATCTTCTGCTATCTATTTTTAGACGGAATTAGAACGCTTGATTAGAAAATTACTGAACAAAGTTCAGAAAACCATCATAATTAGCACATCTTTATATTAAAAAATAGATTTCTCTTTTAGAAGGTTTCTTAACTTGCAAGGCTTTTAATTATGTATTTTACTGTTGTTTACTTTTCGACTTTACTCAAAAGAGACAGAAAGGTAGAACCGAAAAGCGTAATTTGTTTCTTCCTTTGTTTAAAACCCATACGGCAGATGAGAGAAATCCATGAGTTAAAATATTTCAGCTTTATTAGGCAGGGTGAAACAGTAAAAGAAGATTTACAGTAGTGGAAGCTGAATACACAAAGATAATTTGAAAAAGTATCTGTGGAAGTTTGTCACACAACTGGAGTCACAGTCTTCTCATAGTTCAGATGGAATTTTAGCGTTCTCGTGCTTCTTTCTTTTATTTATTGTTGAGTACAATTGTATTCACAACTAAAAAGCAAGAGTTAATGTAGCTTGATGTAAATAAAAGAACTACGGATATTTTTCTGACTCGTAGAGTCATTCTCCGTTACAAAGAAGTTGCGTGATACAAGAACTTTTTCGTTTGTTCAAAGAAAGAGAAAAAAGTACTATCTACTACTACAGAAAAACTTTTCAAACAATGAACGTGAACTGGCTTCTCCTTACAGGTTTAAGGATATTCTTGATATTATTTTAACGAATTAAAAAATTCAAAATATGAACAGCACTGACAATTTTACGGAGGCAGTAGACTCTAATAGCTCTCAAACACAAGCAGCATCTCCGATCGTCATCTATATCTATTTATATGGTTATTTACTCCTTTTTCTCGTTGGCTGCTGCGATAATCTCTGCAGCGCCTTCACATTCTCACGAAAAATTCTACGTACTATCTCAACAAGCACTCTCTTTCTCTTCTTGGTCGTCTCCGATCTTGTCTATCTATTTCTTTCGACCTACGATTTCTTTTTCTATGATCTGGGACTCGAAGATTATTACTATGTCCCACTCTGTCGTTTTCGCACCTTTCTCTCCAAATTCTTCATGCTCTTCTCAGCCTGGACACTGGTCTTGGTCTCGCTCAATCGATCGGTTTGAACACGATTTTCACTGAAATCAAAGAGGTACTGCGCTCTAAAATACGTTCACATCTTTACTCTGATCGTAACTGTCTTCTTCTCTGGTCTCAGTTCACACTTACTCACTCTCATGTTCGGTGACAGTGGAATCAAAAACCTGTCCGTTGGTAACACTGCCTACGCATCCTACTTTGCCTCCTTCGGTGATGTTTGGGCCTACCTCTTCCCCATCGTTCAGATTATGTTCCCGTCTTTCCTCATGCTGGCCTTGCTGGTCAATATGTTCATGGTTCTTAAACTGAAGAAACGTCAATTGGTACCGAGTGAGAAACAAAGTGGACGAAATATCTGCGTGCAAAAGCAAATGTTCATTCTCACGCTCAGCTCAATCTTCATCTTCTTTGTCACAACCATTCCTTCCGCAATATATAATATCCTCCAAGCTGGGCGAATACTAGCTCAAACAACTCTAACAACTAGTGAACTGTCCGTGATTGTGCTGCTGATCTTAGCAGTCAACTACGCCGTCAACTTCTTTCTTCACTGTCTAACAAGCCAACTATTTCATCCGCAATTTCTTACTTTATTGTCTCCAAACGTTGTTCATGGTCGAATATTTCGAAAGAGTATGACGCATATCAATACACAAGCAGGAAAACGAACAGATCTTCAGACAACGGCTCAACAAGTGTACATGAAACGCAGTGGTGATAAGAAGTTCTGAGAACGTGTATTCCTTCAGAGAGATACTGCATGTACCAAGAGAACTGGAACGGCTCAAACTACAGAGGAAGTGAAATATCCAAGTGGTCACTGTGAGATGTTCTGTTTATACTTTCTTTCGTATTTTATCGTTTTTTGGTTCTCTTTAATATATTTTGTTATGCTCAATAAACGTTGTTAGTCTATTTGTATCTGTAGATCATCATAGAGTAGGAAGTAATATACACAGTCAAGGAAAACACACCGAGACCTCTCGTAGATAAATCAGGGAGGATAAAGTTTCTAAAAAGAGACGGTAGCAACCATAGTATCAAACTTGAAGCATACAGAAGTAAAAGTGATCGGTACTTATGAAAAAGCTTTTTTCCTTCTGCTAAATACAGCTTTTTTCGGCGACTATGACATTGTTTTTATATAATCACTTTCTCTTAACATTTCTTTCGACAATAGCACACATCTACGGCAGTTATGCACTTTCTTACGAAGCTGAGAGATTTGTTGGTGAAACTGTGAAAAATCAGCTACGACAACCGAATAATATAAGGAGCAGCGAATGAATTTGACGATAAATACGAGTGACAACTGTATTTTCGAAATAACCGAACTATGCATTGTGCCCGCCTTATTCAATACTCTACTTTTTTACCCTTCAAAAAAACTTCAAATAAAAATTGCACTTGTGCTTTTAAAAAGTACAATCATCATTATTTTCCACTCTCAGCTGTTGTACTCTGAGTATTCTAATCGAGGAAAGCCAATTTTAATTGATTTTGCTTCCTATGCTGTATTCAATAATGGATCAAAAGGCAGCTGTCTAGCTAAGTACATTCAAAAAGTAATCATTACAGTTGTGGTTCTTCCCACCTATCGACTCGTATAAGATAACAAAAAAATACAAGGCTTTAAACTGTTTCCTAAAAGTGTTCAGCCTTCACGATAATATTACTCACTTCAGCAAGGCATGAAAAGTCTTTTAATATCAATCATTATTACACTGAATTGTATCATTGTCAGTGTCAGTTGTTTCAATCATTATCCAGCACCCGATCAATATCATAAACATCGATCAACAAATCTCGATTTACTCTATGCTACGATAACCGATTTGAAAGAAGCATTGAACGACTTGCAAATCACGCCAGCGCAACTTGTTCACCAGTACCTACGAAGAATTCAAGAAGTCAATCGAGAAGGACCAGAACTCAATGCCGTTATTGAGACAAATCCCGATGCAGAGAAGATAGCTCACAAATTACAATATGGGAAAGGAGCTCTCAACGGCATTCCGATTCTGGTGAAAGATATTATCGATACCGCGGATCGACTCAGTACTACAGCCGGGTCCTATGCTCTTCTGGGCTCCAAAGTCCCTCGTGATGCATTTGTCATTCGTCAACTACGAAAAGCTGGTGCAATCATTCTCGGTAAGACAAGTCTATCTGAATGGAGTGGCTTTCGTGTGTTTAATATAAGCCGTCAGGGAGTGAGTGCACGTGGAGGAGTCTCGAAATCAGCCTATGTTACAAATGGTGATCCTCTCGGGTCCAGTTCTGGTTCAGCTATTGCAGTCAGCGTTGGTTTGTGTGCGGCAGCATTAGGCGAAGAAACCGACGGAAGTATTATTGGTCCTGCTAGTCGAAACGGAATTGTTGGAATGAAACCAACGGTTGGATTGACTTCGAGATCAGGTGTGATTCCGATCAGCCACATACAGGATTCCATTGGTCCGATGGCTAAGACAGTTGAAGATGTAGCTCTGCTGTTGGAAGTGATACAGGGTGAAGATCCGAGAGATAATGCAACAGTTGGAGTGAGACGAGAATCATGCTATACAAAGTATCTCAAAGGAGTGAGTGGATTCAAAGGTGTTCGTGTCGGTGTGCTACGTTACGATGTGATTACAAATGCAACAAATCCCGAACAGGTCAAGGTGTTTGATGAAGCAGTTAAACTCATACGTTCACATGGTGCATTGGTGAAAGATCCAATTCGACTTAAGAATTCGGATGAATTAGATCTTCCGGCTGAGTTAATCGTGGCAGTCGGTCAGTTTAAAGAAAATATCGAAAATTATCTTCGGCAATTAAAACACACAAAGATCAGAACACTGCGAGATATAATCAATTTCAACAATGACCACAAAAGTCTTGAATTCAATCAATATCTGTCTGATCAAGATATCTTCTTGTTCGCTGAGAACACAATTGTAACAAGTGAAGATCTGGCAAATTACGCTCGTCTCGCTCAAAGTCTTGAACAAACTTTGGAAAAACATCATTTGGATATTTTGATCACACTGGCTGAATTCGGTACAAGACCATCAGCTATAGCAGGAAGTCCGATGATCACTGTTCCCCTGGGTTATTTGCAAGTTGGAGACGGTACAACTGACCTTCAACCATTTGGCTTGGGTATCATGGGACGAAAATGGAGTGAAGGCTTGCTGTTAAAGGTGGCTCATGCATTTGAACAGGCAACGCACGTGAGAGATCGAGTACGACCAAAGTATGCACCAAAAGACTCGTATTAAGTTAGCTTCTTTTTCATTTTCGTTACAAATTTATGATTTCTTTAGTTTACCTTGTAACGGCGACCGAAAAAACAGAATTCATGTTTTCTTTTTCCCATTTTTTTTAACTCTTATTTATTCACATACCTTATACTGATTCTTATGCAATGTTACGATTAACGACTCATTAAAAGATGTCACAGCACAGTTATTGCAAAGCTAGAAGAAATCCAGAGAAAAGATGTTGAAGATGCTAACTCTAACTCAATTTCTGAACCGCTTTCTGACCATGTTTGCCGCGAAACGCGTTCTTCCGGCTACAAGACAATTCATTTTCTATTCCACGATTCTAAGATTCAAGAATATTTTAAAATATTGAAAATTAAAAAATCGTTAAACGTAAAAGTACTGCAGAGGCAGGTCCAATTGACCGTATAGTTGACGAAGCGTATAATAATGTCAATCGTCAATCTTCATCAACTGATTTACTCATTAACTTACCACCACTGCATACAATGACATCGTCGGAAAAATCGTCCACCAGTTCCACATACAACAACACAATTTACATTTCTATTACCGGACACATATTGTAAAACAACAAATGGCGAATCATTTTTATTATATGATGAATTACTTGCTGGTACTCGTTCACTCATTTTCTCGTCATACAGTGATATCGTTCATCTATCACAACAAGAACATTGGTACGGTGATGGTACATTTTATACGTGTCCTTCAAATTTTTACTAGATGTATTCAATTGACAGCAACTAGTCATGCAACTAGAAAAAGATTTTATTCGCGATAAATCGTAGGCTGATTCTAAGGATAGCCGGGAGCTGTGCCAGTCGATTCATGGCCCGATAATCGATCGCTTCAACTCTCATTGATCGATCGATTGTCCAATAGCGTTTCTGATGTACACATGATTATTTTTTATTATGACGCATCGGTGAAGCGCTCCACCATGCTATTGCAAACACCTTTTGTAATTGTTAGAGATTGAAGGAAAATCAACGACGTTTGCTTCTCTGTCCTTCCTTTTTATCTTTTTATATACTATAAGCAAGTGTCATTGTGTATTGCTATTTGGTGCGAAAGTTTCATAAAGCTGGAAAGTAAACTTCTGTTTTATTACTCAAGTAGACCTTGTTGTTATAATTGTTAAATGTAACTTTTCCACATTGGGTAATAAATGCCAAACTCACAGGACAGAACGTACAGTATGCGTATGTCATACACATGTAAAAAACACGATAACAGCTGCGTTTTTTAACTTCATTAGTATTTTATTTAGTTTTAAATTATTTTCGACGTTTCGAACCATACAAAGTTGATTTTCAAGTTTTTCTTGAAAATGAACTTTGTATAGTTCGAATTTTAATAAAAAAAGAACTAAATAAAATATTTTAATGAAGTTAAAAAACGCAGCTGTTATCGTGTTTTTTATTTTGAAATTATTGCCCATTAATCGTAATAATATACACATGTAGATTATCGAACTCCATATAAGCTTTGTATACTAAGATAGATCCTAACTAGCTTTTACATTCGGATCCAGATAGATATGTTTTTTGGGATTTCTATGATCAATTATTTATTAGTCTAGTAATTTATAGGTAGTAGATAATTCAATATTAGTGCCGATTAACCTGAGGAAAGAAGAACGATAATTTTCTCTTTTATTTGCTTCTTATCTGTGAACTTTATTTATTACAATCGATCACATGTGGAGCATTAGGCTGTACTACAGCATTCACAGTCCCAGCAAGGCTAGTAATGCTAGAGTCTATTGTTTGTTGGATAGAAGAGGAACGATGCTCCTCGGCCTGTCTGCATCAAAGGCCGAGGCGGCCTACGATGCTCCTCGAATGAATCAAAACATATGTTTACGCTTCCAGAAATAAACATAACGGCTTGTAATAGTAAAAAAGAGAAACTTCCCAAATAGGTAAAAATAACGGCGCCTACTGCGACTTATGAAATCAGTACAACGCTTTTCTGAAATAAAAGCTATATATTACTCTTTTCGGATACATAAACACCATAAAAAAGACACAATTTTAACATTGGTCAAAAATTAACTTGATTGAAATAAATTTGGATATCTAAAAACATGCACTTGTCTTGTGCTAATAAGTCTGTGTACTAGTTTTTGTTCCACATCTTGTGGACGAATTAACATAAGCAAATCTTTATTAATTTCACAGTTCCAAGCATTATTAACAATTTTCTGATGCTTAGTACCATTATTATCTAAATATTTAATTCGAAACAAATCGCGAATAGTAATATTGTTTATTAAGAAATAAAATGCTTGTTTATCTTGGTTCACGGTGATTATTGCCGCTATGAAACCCAAATACAATTGTTCAGAATTCATTTGTTTGAACATGACGCATGAATCATCAGTTGTTTTTCTGTGCATCGAGTGTGTTTCATAATGCAAATTGTTATAGATGACAGAATCATAATAATCGACATAGTTTAAATTTGGAATTCCAGAGAAAAATTTATTATATTGCTCGTAGGATTTGACAGTTCTTGTCAAATGAAAATGGCTAGTGCTTTTACGTTGCTTTTTTTCTCCAATCAATTCATTGCAATAATTGGCTAATATATTAGGATATGATGAAGATTCGTAATGAATCAGAGCGACGCGAAATGACTCTAAATGTGATATTAATTGTTTGTTATGGTCGATCGTCCCATGAGCCAATGATTTAAGAACACGATTGACATTTTCAAAAAAGAATGTTGAATACAAGTAGAATGGCCCAGCGCTTTTTAACGACAAATGTGCATGTTGCATCGTATGTACGTTGCTGCTGCAATGTCTGATTGTGTATAACGACTTATATTCACGAACAAAATCATTCAATAATACATAAACGTGTTGAGCATCATCAACTGTTGTGCTTTCGCCGTTTCCGATATTCATAGCACTCACAAATTTCAGGAAGTTGTTGTAATATTTTGGTTTTAATAAAGATTGGAAAGATGTAAAGCCAAAATGTACGATTGCTTTGAGTTCACTTGCTTTGTATTTGTAATAAATCTCTATTCGCCGTGGACGTCTTGATGTTGTATTTGGCAATCGCAAGCCGTCCAGTATTCTTTGTAGTTCATCTATTTATGTCTAATTGACCACGGTTCAGCACGGTATTTTACATCTAACCAAAGAGTGAGTAATTTTTTCATAACGCCTTCATATGCTGAATGTAAATCATCAAATAGCCAACCTTGACCAACGTCAAAATATTTTAAACGACGAAATTCACAATACCCTAGGAAAAAAATGTGATTCGTTTAGCTGATGGTAAGTTTCGGCTTATTAAGTGGAGAACAGTGATAATATACAATTATTGTCAAGCGAAGAACGAGCATACAGTCTGTTCAGCTCAAAACGAATTTATTTAAACCAATTCGTAGTCCCAATATACGCCCGCACTTTTCTTTTAACTGACGTTTTACTATTTTTACAGACATTTTGCTCTCAGCAGTGTTCTTCCCAGGTTTCTACATTGAGTTTGTTATATGCTCGGCTATATGTTTATCCGGAGTTTCAGCATTTTCTTAAATTTGTCTGTTAGTTTGAAAAGTTTTATTACTAGAAATCCTCTCAGCAAGTCCCAGAGTGAATATACAGAAAAAAGAACAGGTAAAGACACTATATGAATATCCGTTTTAGTTCTAAGCCCAAACTTTAAACGATAGACACCTAAATGTCCCTTTTCAAAATCAAGATTATCCGTTTCCATTTTCAATATGTTCTCATCATGTGTTAAATTTGTTCTTAATGTTGTGTTTTCTTGATACGGATAAACTCTAATCGGAGGTTGTCTCTTGATAGGTTTTTTTCTCGATTCTAAAATATG